GGCCCCGACCCGACCCGTTACAAGTATGGCTAGCAGAGAAAAAATTCTCCGACAGGCGACGGCAGAATTTATAGATAAACTTATTTCAGCCTTTTTTATTGTTTCACACTGTATGAAGCTCCTATTAATGTTGAAAAATGGTGATAGTTATACAATTAGGTGATGAAACAGAAAAAAAGAACTCCATAATTTTTAAAAACTAGAATGCCGTAAACACTCTAGAAGATTGAGCCTCTAACGTTGAGCAATTTTATTTCGGTTCCTGTGACCGATATCAGAAAGCGGTCAACTAACAAAATCTTTATCACATTATCACAGTAATACTTTTCTGTTGACCTTTTTTATGATATCTTTTACAGGAACCGAGATAATCAACCCCAAATTCGACGCTTTGGCTTCTATTGGAGGAAATACGGGATTTTAGAACTTTTTTTTTTTTCAAAAATTGCTGCACGGTAAAACATCTTGCAAATAATTTTGAATAATGGTGATAGTTCTAAAAGTAGGTAAGGAAACAGAAAAAATTTTCAAGACATTTTGCGAGGAACGATTTTGAATTTCTATTTCTATGAGTATTTCATCGAAACTTTCTTCCCGTTAAAAATCTGAGACTTAATTTTCCTAAGTTTGTGAAATACAATGCTCCAAAAATTATCTATCAGCTCTGACCAACCAAATTATTGGAAGATATTCTTCGAGTCTTTACTGTTTCTCTAAGTCTCCAACTTTTTAAAAATGTGCACATTTTTGCTTACACTTGGCTTTAGCTACGAAAAATTTCGACTAATTCCTTCAACCCACCAGCTTCCGTGACAATCTCATCTCCCTCCTTTGGCAATCGATCCTTTTCTGGTACGGTAGCAACTGGAACTGCAGAAACTGCTGCAGCATTTCCAGCAGCAGCGGCTGCTGCAGCTGCTGGTGGCGTTCCAGTAATAGGATTGATCGGATTCTGTTGTCGCGGTGGAGATGCTGGAGGTAGAATTGGTGGATCAGCCATGATGAGAGCTGTTGAGTAAGAAGGAGCAAGCGAGGAAAAGTGTTGGCTGGGAAGATTCGTGATAAAGAAAACAAAAATTTGGACATTCACGTCACAAAAAAAATGCTGGATTGTATTTATAAGAAGCTCTTTGTAGTGGCACTAGGCAGAGGACTCTTTGACACAAAAGAATATCAACACTCTTATCAGTTTTAGACAAGCCAACATTTTCAATTACGCTGTTTTTTTTCCAGAACCTTTTCTCCCCTTTTCTAACTTTTTCGCTTCATTGGAAATCGCATCCAGTTACATGTATATATCGTTTATGTGTTGGTTGGTATGCATTATGTATTTCTTTCTTTTTTTTTCTTCACTTCTCTGCTTCACTTCGTTTTGCTTCTTCTTCTGCTTCCTCGAAGGTGCTGCTGGACGGACGACCATGTTAAAAAAGGGCGATATGCATGTACTGCGATTACGAAACAGACCCTGCAGACCGGTTTCGCAATTAGCGCACGGCGCCATTCGTAAGGGATCCGTGTCCTTGACGCGCGGAAGGTGTTATCTCATCGAAAAAAGGAGAAGCGGCAGCGGAGGAAGGAAGCTTAAGAAGCGACGACCGCGTAACTGACGCGAAACGACAGTGATGATGTAATCGAAACTGAAGGGATGAAAGGTGAAAGTTTGATTGCGTTGAAACAAAACAACAAAAAAGATTTGCCGCCAGCAGGGGTCGAACCTGCGACCTTGGGCTTATTAGACCCACGCTCTAACCGACTGAGCTATGGCGGCCTTGTCGACTGTCGTTGCAAAATACCACTTTGAAAGGAGGGAGACAACCAATTCCAATGAGTACGTGCAGTGAGGTCTGATTGTGAGGTAATAGGTGTTAAATTTGCCAGAGGAGTGAAACAGTAGATATTGTAAACTTTATTTTGGATCGGATCTTGTGAAACCTTGGAAGGAATATTGTTTATTAGGAACGATTCGAATATTTACAACATTTTTACACTTTTTTCTATGCAGCACTGCAAACATATCGGCATCTAAAGATCTAGTATTTTTGCAGGTACAGATGCAAGAGACGAAAAAACTCTGAAAAACTGGAAGGATCTCTTTACAACGCTATTCCAAGCGGAACAGGATATACGGTAATAAAAATCGCTTTTTGGTTCCTCTTCCTTCTATATCAAAGATTGAAACAATATGACACTTGACTTACAGTACTATTTACATCATTGTTTCCCCTTTCACTTTTTTACTAGTAATCGAAAAACAAAACAAAAACCAGGTGGTCAATCTGCTGATCTAGTGAAAAATCACGCGCGCGCTCTTCCAAAATTTTTCACTTTCCATTCGTTTTGTGTGCAACCTCTGCTCTCCTTGCTCACACGGCCGCCATAGCTCAGTCGGTTAGAGCGTGGGTCTAATAAGCCCAAGGTCGCAGGTTCGACCCCTGCTGGCGGCAAATCTTTTTTGCATTTTTGTTTTTTTTCCAGCAATAGTCATTTTGGTCACTTAATCGTGTTCACTGGTTCATTGGAAAAGGAGGAGAGACGGAAGAAAGCGAAACCGTCGCTTCATCCATCGTTATGTCATCGTGAAAGGGGAAAGGGGCGGAGCCAGTAGAGGAGAGTACTTATTGGCGAATTCGCTTCTTTCAGAATCATCCTATTCCGAATTTTGATACTGATTTGAGATCCCTTTTTGAGGTAAGTTCATTACTGTAGTTAGTTTCTTTAGGGTTACTACAAGTACCGTAAAACCTATAATAGAAGCCCCCTCCTAATTTTTAAATTTGATCGAAATTATCTCGGTTTCTATTAAAGATATGAAAAAGTTGTCAACTGATAAATTATCTACCAGAACATCAACAACTTTTTATCAGTTGTCGTGTCACAATCTTGATATCTCTGATAGGAGCCGAGATAATTGACCTCAAACTTGGCAGTGCGGAAGCTCTTCTATTACAGGTTTTAAGCTAATTCTAAGCTTTAAGCTTTTAAGCTAATTTAAAATATTTTTCGAACAATGAAAGTCAAAGCCTGTTGCTCATATTGGACTCATATTTTGATTCAAAACGGTCTAAGCCGCTATCCAGATAGTTTGAATTTCTCAAAAGCTGAATAACTACAGTAATCCCTCGAGACTGTTTCCTCTAGTTTTCTCGACACAAAAGAACACCTGTTCTCTCCTGGAAACTTTTCCCTTTGTCAATTATTCTAGTTCCCCTTACTACATCCTTCGGAACGTCTTCTCAATCCTTCAAATGTTCTTCTTATTCTCCTCAGAACATACAAATCACACAGAACGATTTTCCTCCCCTTTTTTCGATTTCAAATGGTGTGTATGTAACCAGAAGAACCAGACACCTTCTCATTTTTTTCCCTGTAAAACTAGAGACTGTTGAATCCAAGGAGAGGTTGTTAGAGAAAGTGGGCGGAGTCTAGGGGGAGTGGGTACCAAGAGAAAACGAGTTTCCTTCGCCCCTTTATGTGTATGTGTGTCCTTTGCCATTTTTTCAAATGTTGATTGGTTGGAGCGTCTTCAGAAGAATACCTATTCCTCTACTATTCCCTATTCTAAAAATCTGAAATCTTGGATCAGGCTCTGGTCATGTGCATATATTGCGCTATATATGCTAATATTGCACTTGACCATGGCCTCGTCTAGAAAGTAAGACAGTTTCAGAAAGGTAAGTACTATTCTTTCTACCTATTCCTATCTGAAAAATCTGAAAATTCCGATCCGGCCATGGCCAATTGCATATATTGCTTTTACTTTTTCAAAATGCGAATATTGCACTTTCCCTGGCCAGATCTGATAGTAAGATTTGAGGGAAATCTAGGTTAGTTTTTTACATTAAAGCTTCTTTCAGAATTTGTTCCAGAAAGTTTATGATAAATGGAACAATTTCGGTTATTTATTATTTGGATTTGCTGGTGTCAGAGAGATTTGATTGTCTTGACAGATGGAATCACTTTGAGAGGTATCGTTAAAGCGCGTTGAATAAACCACTGTATTTTTTAGCCTTCTTAAAGTAAGGAATCAATAACCAATAAAACTGAATAACACTGTACACCGTCACGTCTGAATGAATACCGTAGCTCACAGAGAACTCCGAACATTTTTTACTGTTTCCCCTTCTTTAAATTTGTTTTCCTTTTCCCCAATTTTCGATTTAGTATTTTTAACATGAATTTCATAATTTAAGTACCGTAAAAACTATTCGATAGCCATGGCACTCTATTGTTCGGGGGTGGTCTAGGGTGGCATTGTATTAGGGGGTGGCATTCAATTAGAGGCTGGCACTTTTTTGTTGGGAGCCAATTTCTATTGAAACTCATCAAAAAAGGACTCGATTTTCAACTTTTTCATGAAATGACTTTCGAGGTTTTCTCTTGGTTTTCCTAGTAAATGGTTTTTTGTGTTTCTCTTCAACTTTCACCACAGTGACATCAATTCCTCAGTGGCATATAATTAGGGGCTGGCACTCTATTTTTCGGAGGTGCTCGGGGGTGGCACTATATTAGAGGCTGACATTCAATTAGGGGTGTCTATCTAATAGAGTTTTTACGGTATGTTTTTCGGACTGACACGAAAAAAACCGTTGAAACTTGAGTAAACAGAGAAATAATTTTGAAAGTTCGCTCAAGTAATACGGTATTTTGGTTTGGCACCTTTAACGGGACCCGTGATTTCAATATGCATGGATAGGAACAGATAAAACAACTTCTGTTGATTAACTATAATTTTTAAAACAACATGAAACAGAAAAAAGCTGACTACTCTGACAAATTCTTTGTTTCAATTAATTTTTTATATATTTCTTTGTTTCAGGAACACCTTTCGGGGTCTCATCTGAAGCTCAGGTCGCGCTGTTAGCAGAAGCTATAGTAGGCAAATGAATTGCTACAGTAATCTACTGTAATTTCTACAAACAACATCCCGTCAAATTGAAGACTTTTTATAACGATTTTTGTGACACAAAATGTTAATGAGAAACAGTAAAGTTTAGTTGTAACGCTTCTGAACAATTTTCCACTTTTTTTTCGATTTTTACTGCTCAAAAGCTCTTGGAACCGTAATGGAAAAACAGTAATTTCAAGATTAATATTATCGCAGCCATCATCGTATTATTTGATTTGAACAGTTTGAAAAATTAAAAATAACAGAAACAGACAATATGTGAAAGTATCTGGTAGTACAAAATTTTCCTGAAAGTTTCCATGAGTGTTACTCTTTGAAAACATTTGAAAAGATTCTAGATGAAAAAAAGCTTCTTATTCAAATAATTTTTGGACGGATTTTCCGAAAACCAAATTTTCTCCATTCCAAAAAATTAAGAGATTATCATACTTGTAAAATTCCGGGCCGGGCCTGAGGAAATTTTCGAGGCCCGGGCCCGGTCCGGAAGGCCCGGTGTCAAAAATTCTGTATTTTTGAGCCAAATTTTGAGCTCTCAATATAATTTTTTCCATTTTTTTTTCGTCTTTCGGATTGTTTGTATGTCTGATCAAAAAAGATCGAAAAACTCGAAAAAAAATTTTTTTGGTCGAAAAAATCACATAAGGGTCCCCCCTTATGTGTTTTTTAAAATTTTCGAAACTAGTGAAATGACGGGCCCGCCGGGCCGGGCCGGGCCTCCGAAATTCCGGAAAAAGCCCGGCCCGGCCCGTTACAAGTATGGAGATTATTTTTTAAAATTAGTCCCACGTTATCCTGTTTGCAGGTTGGGATCATACATCTCTTGAATACAAAAGTAGTAAAAGACTAAGTTTCGAATTTGAAACGGAAAAAGAATCAAAAGAAGAAATGGCAATTTTTAAACAGGCACTCTTAGTACTGGAAAACAGTTTAAATAAAAACTTGTTAATGAACTATTGCACCGAACCAAACGTTCTCATTTTTATCTAAAAAATTTGGAATACAATGATGAGATTTTGAAGAACAATTAGAAATTTCGTCTAGCAACAGGGGATAACTGAACAGAAAGAGAGTTTTCAAAGAACGAGTTGACTTTTTTTTGAAACAGAAAATATTTTAGAATTATTGGAAGTTTTCGAAAATCTATGAATTTTCAAACATTGAATCGAAACGGAACTGTTTCTCTTAAATCTACTGTCTCCTCTTTTTTAGCTGTACCCTCGCTCTCAATATGCGTTGATTTGAAATCTTATCGACATCTAAAACAATTTTGTTTATAAACTTCCGTTTTCAAAACAACATGAAACAGAAAAATATTCATTTTTGGACCAATATTTTTTATGTGTTTCTTTGTTTCAGGAACAGTTTTAGGGTTCTCATCATAACTTTGAGGTCATGTTGTTTTCAGGAGCTACAGTACGCAAATGAAATGCTACCGTAATCTATCGAAGTTTCTACAACCAAAATCAAAATGCAGAAAATAGCTTTCGTATCTGGTTGGTTACTAGAGTTCTAAGTTGTTTATAACACAAAATATCAATGAGAAACAGTAAATTTTTATCGTAAAAATGTTATTCCTTGTTACGGGTCCCGAGCTTTGAAAATGTTCCAGATAATTAACCGCTTCTTATTTGAAACTTCAATTTGAGAGAAGAAAGTTTTCAAAAACCGAAAAATGTTTACCATTTCAAAAAGTTAACTAATTTTCTTCTAATTATAATCATCTCACTTCATCCGCATCCGTCACTCCCACAATAAGTCATCAGCACCTTCCTTTTTCTGGCTCTGACCTTGAAATCTTCGATCCCTGGATAATCGAGAAGCTTCTTCGCAAACTCCCGCCTCGTTGTGGCTATTCTCCCCATTTGGCCAATTACTTTATCATTAAAAAATTTCCGCAAAGCCTTCGACCAGGTAAATCATCAACTTCTCATCCAGAAACTTACTAGCTTTGGAGTCCCTAAATCCTACGTAGCTTGGTTCTCCTCTTTTCTCTCTGGTCGAACGTTCTCTGTCAAAATCTTTGATTTTATTGGACCTCCTTCCTCTGTCATTCCCTCTGGTGTTCCTCAAGGATCAGTCTCCGGTCCCTTACTATTTCTCATTTTCATCAATGATCTGCTCTTAGAACTTGAACAAATCCCCTCTCTTCACCTTGCCGCCTTTGCTGATGATATCAAATTGTATTCTCATGACCCAATCGCCCTTCAAACTGGTATCAACATGGTTGTGAATTGGGCTACCGCCAACCATCTCCCTCTTGCCCACTCTAAAACTGCCCTTCTTCGCCTAGGTTCCCATAATTCTTCCCATCCTCTCAATATTGCGGGTGTCTCACTTACTCCCTCCTCCTCCGTCCGGGACTTGGGACTTATTACTGATTCCTCTCTCAAATTCTCTGCTCACATCAACAAAATCACATCTCTAGCTCTTCTCCGTTCCAAACAACTCTTAAAGTCATTTAGATCTAAATCTCCTGAATTCTACATTCATCTTTTCAAATGTTATGTTCTCCCGATTCTTGAATACTGTTCTGTAGTTTATTCCCCTCCGCCTTCTTCTCGCCTTGCTCTAAAACTAGAATCTCCCTTAAGATTTTTCTCTAAGTGTATTTTCCAGCGTTGTAATATCCAGTACAGTTCCTATTCTGATCGTCTCTCTATCCTCAATATGTTCTCTATTCGACATCGTAGGCTAAAAGCTCAACTAATTCTTCTCTATAAATTTTTAAATGGCTCCGCCTATTTCCTAACCTAAATGCACATGTCAAATACTCCTCCTCCCCTCGTCGCCCTATGAACTTAATTATTGTTCAGCCCTACTCCTCTGACTATTTTTCTTCAATTGTTCCCCTGTGGAACGCCATCACTTCCCAAGTTACCCGATTTCTCCTACCTTCCGAGTTTGAGTCCTTAATTTCGTCCAGTATTACCCGTTTTTGATATATTTGCGCCCTATTTTTTATTTCTTTTTTTTCTTTTCTCTACCGGTTATATCTTTTCCTGTGTCAAATATCTAAATTATCCCGCTTCCCCTCCCCTACTCAGATCGGCCTCGTGAGGGGCATTTTTTCTGAGTCTTTCATGTCCTGCCCTCCTTTGTTGCATTCACCTGGTCAATAAATTAAATTAAAATTAAATCCTCATCGAATATAGGGTGTAATTTTTGTTCTAATCTGATGATAAATGCTAATTTTGAAACGGAAAAGGAGTAAGGTTATCTTTTTAATTGAGAATATTCCGCCAGGTTTTGTAGGTTCTTTTTAGGAAAAGAAGCTGTTTGTCGAGCTTCTGCCGTTGTATAAAATTCACTTCAAAAAAAATTGAGAATGTAGTAAAAATGAATAAAGGTAAAAGACTAAACTCCTAAATAGAAACAGAAAAAAATCTGAAGAAAATCGAAATGTTTCATAAACTTGCGAACAGTGCATATCGAAAATTGTTCCACTGAAAATTTGATAAAGAACTTCTGAAATGGACAAAACTTCTCAAATTATCGACCAAAACAGAAGGCCGGTTGGAGAAAAGAATGGAATGTGGGGTTTTTCAAAAAATTTGTTCAGTTTTTGAAACAGAAAATGTTTTCAGAATTACTAGAATTTTAAAGCTAATAGAAGGCTACGAAGATTCAAAATGATGAAAACTATCGGAATTTGCACTGCCTGGAGACAATTACCGTATTCCCTCTAATAGAGGCCCATGGGCTTCTATTTTTCAACCTTCTTCTGGGGGTGGACTGATATTTGAAAAAACGCTCAAATTAGAGGGTTTTCGGTGTTTTACTGAACTGGAATAGTTATAAAACAACAAGAATTAACAGAAAGTACCAGAAAAAAACAAAAACAAGTATGTATGCACTAACCCCTAACTAAAGAAAAATGCACAGCCAGGGTGGGCTTCTATTAGAGGTGGGCTTCTAATAGAGGAAATACGGTAAATGGAAATAGAGTTGTTTCATAGATCTAGTAAAATATTTTATTGATTCGACATAAAAATCGTCAATATAACATCTTTAACTACTTCAATCCGAGATGTGAAACGGAATTTTTTCCGTTTATTTTTTTTCATTTTATGCCATTCAACTTGCTCATGAACTTCTCAATTAATTTTCGAGCATTATCATCAGTTGGAAAACTGGCTTACTCACAATTCAATGAGTCACAAACAGCAAGCAATACATAATTTGAAACAAAAAGTCATTTTGAAACAGCAACTAAATCAGGTTAAGTGGAAATATCATTTGAAGTTTCTTGAATATTACGGGACATTCGATCAAGTAAAGATTTTTCAGGAAATGCGAAAACTTGAAGAGTAAGCAGGAATGTTTTGTTTATAATGGTTTTTGGTTTCAAAATAATCGAAATAGCTGTTAGAAGCGGCAAAAATTTAAATTGGAAATAGACATTTTTACAAACTTGTGCACGATTCACATTAGAAAAATTTGAAACTAAATACTTCATAAAGAACAACTGAAAAGGACAAATCTATTCGAATTACTATTCAAAAAAAGTTTGAATACAACTAGGAGAATACAAATCTCTATTCGAAATTTCATCAAGAACAGTGTATCCTTTCGACACGGCTGTGATGATTTTTTGAGGTCAGTGAGAGCAGCGTTCCCTTTACTAGAATGTTTCTCATAAGATAGTTTTTCAAATGTCGGTGAAAATAAGAATCGAAACCTACGGATGTCCAACGGAAACTGTAACAATTCACTCGAAGAAGTCAAGATACTTCTTTCCGTCAGAACCAGATCGACTGATACAACAATTTTGTTGATAAGCTTTAGTTTACAAAACAACAAGAAGCAGTAAAAATGTTTTTTCTTGTTTTTTGGGTCAATATTTGTATGTGATTTTTGTTCCAGGAACAGTTTCCAGTTTTCTCATCCGAATTTCGAGGTCACACTGTTTTCAGAAGCTGAAATTTCTTCATAGGACCCGATAATAAATTCTTAAAATTCCAAAAAAATCAACAACAAAACAAGAAAATGAGTAAATTGAGTTCCTATGAAATGAAATTATTTGAATTGTTTGATGGATTTGGCGATGATGTCAACAGCAAAATCAACATCTTGTTTGGTAATGCACATTGGTGGTTTAATACGGAGAACGTTTCCATGAATTCCTCCTTTTCCGATCAAAAGTCCGTGATTCTGAAGCAATAGAACATAAGAATAGAGAAGAGAGAGGGTTACTGTACCTTGGTGTCTTCAAAAATAGCAGCAGTCTTGGCAGCGGCCAATGGTTTTCCTTGTTCATCGATCAACTCCACACCGATCATGAGTCCCTGAAATGACGACTTCATAAAATAAAAAGTAATGTGATCAAAATTTCTAAAAACAGAAATATAAGTCGAACCTTTCCTCTAACGTCTCCAATTGCTTTCTCGTCCAAAGCAGCCAATTGTTTCAAGAAATAATCTCCAACAACTGCACAATTTTCCTGAAGCTTCTCTTCTTCAATAACCTCTAAAACAGCTTTTCCGACGACTGAAGCCAATGGATTTCCTCCATAAGTATTGAAATAAAGGGATTTGTTGAAAGAGTCGGCGATTTCTTTAGTGGTCACAACAGCTCCCAATGGGAATCCGTTTCCGATTCCCTTGGCCATTGTCACCATGTCTGGCATTGCGTCTTGGGCTGAAAATGGATAGTTAGGCACGTATAACGCCGGAAGAATAAGCGGGAAGATAAAAAAGAAAGACAACTATCATATGAAACAGGAGAATTTTGTATGTAGGCTCAGAATTAATACATTATTCTGATACAAAAAAGTCTGAACTGTGGAAGAGGAACGCGGGTGGCTGTGGCTGACGATCCTATAACGACAACTACAGTATTGAAATATTCTTGAAATTTACTCTGTTGAATAATTATGAACTACTTTAATCTAATTATTCTGTGAGCTGTTATCCTACTCTTAAACCCCCAAGAATTGCAAGAATTTCACAATTTTTCGCAAATGTCCCAAAAATTGTTTTCTCAATTTCCCTTATCAAAAAAACTACGAATTTAAAACATAAATTATATTAAAAGTCCAACAAAAGTGTTTCGAAACCTACATTCGAATCCCCAGAAGTGTGATCCGAGACGTCCGAATCCGGTTTGTACCTCATCGGCAATAGCGATTCCGCCGCGTTTTTGCACAGCTTCGTATGACTTTTTGAGATATCTGAAATATATGTTTTTGGACAGAAAGTTTAAATTGTTCATTTTCTAGAACTTCCGTGTCAGGGAGGTTATATTATAACTCATTCATTGTTCAAGTTGATGTAATCCAAATATAATCGAACACGGCCTTTTCAAACAGACTAAATTCACATACCCATGTGGATACTGTACAGTTCCTCCAACTCCTTGAATCGATTCAATCAAGAATGCGGCTGGTCCAGACGAATGAGAAAAATCGTGAAGAAGCATTTCCTCAAATTGCTCGACATATTTTTCAGAAGCCTCACAAACTCCTGGAGCACATCCACACCTTCTGTTTTTCACTTGAATTGGGGAGTCTCGACAGTTGCTTCCTCCGAAAATTCCACGGTATGGATCGGCGTTGAGTGATTTGAAAATGTTGAATCCGTGAGGAAAAACTGGTTTCCAGTTACCCAAATTAGTGGCTCCGAGAACGGTTTGAGTCATTCCGTGATATCCATTTCTCATTGAGATCACATCGAAACGACCTGTGTAGTTACGGGCGAGAGCAAGAGCCAAATCATTGGCTTCGGAACCAGAGTTAACAAAGAATACTGTCTGGAAATAATCAGATGGATAGGATGGAAAGTTGAAGAGAAGAACATTCAAAAATCTCGTTTCACAAACTAAACTAAAACTAAAAAATCAGGAACATTCTCAGAAGTTTCTAATTTAATTACTTTGAATAGAAGATCGAACAAAAAATGCTTCAAACCTAATTACAAATGGCCGTTTTGAAACAGAAAAAGAAATTAGGTTAAGTCTTGTGAAATTTTATACAAATTTCTTAGAAAATAAAGGGACGTTCGAAAATGCATGCGAAATTGTAACTTTCGAAATTCAGAGTCGAAGCTCTGAAAATTTTTCTACTAACTAAGAAATTTTGATAAAGAACTACTAAATTGGACAAAAACTGACCAAAAGTGAAGTTGAAAATTGGGTACTGTTCTAGAATCACGGAACAAACAAAAATTTTGGGTTATCCAGAAAATTTCAATCTTCTTTACTTTGACAAGTAGTGTCCGTAATTTTAACTTTGACGTCGATTTTACTTTGTCCAATACCCAAAAGTATACTAAAAAGGGTATGTCAAGTTCTTAAGATACGCTAGTTAACAGGTTACATAGGACCTTTAGAACATCTGAAAATTTAGTTCAAGGCTACATCAAGCAGTTATTGAGCTCGCTGACATTTTTGGATGTTCCAGATAAAGCAAACATGGCGTTTCAGCCTAAGCCTGTGATTGAAAAAAGCTTCCTCAATCCAAAAATATCATCCAATTGGAAAATAATAAATCCGAGGAGAGCAATTTCATGCCAACCCCCAAAAAGACTAATTTTGAATTAAAAAAGATTTTTTCAATTATAGGCTTAGGCTGAAACATCATGTTTCCTTCATGTGGAACATTCACAAAATGGCGGAAAATTCAATAAAACTGCTCGTTGAAGCCTCGAATCTTATTCACAGATGTACCCATGATCCTCAGATCATCTGGGAATGGTACTATGTACCTTATTAGCTATGTACCTTATCTATTGGTGTATCTTAAGGACTTAACATACCCATTTTTGGGTATAATTTTGGTACCAATCAAAAAAAAGTGATGTCAAGATAAGATTTCAGGATAGTACTTGGATGAAGGTCGTAGTAATTTTCGGACTACCCAAAACTTTCGTTCCGTGATTTTTTTTTTCGTTTCGTGATTTTTTTTCGTTCCGTGATTCTAGAACAGTGCCGAAAATTGCAACTCAATTATGATAACTAAAAAGACCGGTTGGGAAAGAAGAGGAATGGAATGCATGAATTTTCAAAAAACTAGTTAAGTTTTGGAAACAAAACATATTTTTAAAGTTATCGGAAGTTTTCAAATAGCTCAGGATTTTCAAAAAGATAAAAATATCGGAATTAGCGTTGACGGAAGACATGCCTATTAGAAATAGAGTAGTTTTAATTTTCAGTTAAAATTCTCAATGTATTGAACATGTGCCTACCGGTCCATTATTTTCATTGTAATATATTCAATTATGTTAATCCAAAATGTGAAACAGAATATTTTTTCAATAATTCGCTCAGATTTCAAATCATTCACCTACATTCAGTTTGCTCGGAAATTTTCCAAGCAATTTCTGAGCGTACTCATAGATTGGCTCCGTGTGATAGATGGATGTCGTGTGCCACAACTTTTTAGATTGTTCGGTGAGAGCAGCGTTCACTTTTCTGGAATTATTCATGATAAATTTCGAATTTGGGTAAATCGAAACTTACGGATGACAATGTCCAACAGAAACTGTAACAATTCCACCGAAGAAATCGAGATATTTCTTTCCATTTGAATCAAAAAGGAACTGTTTTTCTCCTTTTACGATCAGAAGTTGGTCCTTATAATAGGTGACATGTCCCTTTGGGAGCAATGGGCGGAGTTGTTGGACACGTTGCATGGCTGAAAAAGGTTATAAATATTGAAGGAAAAGTAACTGCTAAAAGAAATCGAGCTCATGATATGAGTTATTTGAAACAGAAAAAAAGTCTAGTGGAGTTTTATAGGGTTTATGGGGACGAAAATAACTGGGGGAGAAAGAGGGTCCCAAGGTCATCATTACACTGCACCAAATGCACTGAAAACGTTGCAAAGGTTAGCAACTGTCTCTGTTTCTCTGCGTCTCTTCTGGTCACACACTCTCTCCTCGAAGACAGTTGTCGTTTGGTCCAAGATATAAGAAGAGATGGGAAGAGAAAGTGACCGATTGGAGAGGGCACAGAGAAACAGAGCAGCGTGTTTAGCAGAAAAAAAAAACAAAAGAGCAGACCGATAAAAATAGAAGAAGGGCGAATCAAGTAAATTAGAAGACAGATTTCTGATTGAGAACTGAATCGGAGAGACGAAACGTGAGAAGATAAGAGAAGAACTGTTGCATGTATCAATTGATAAAACATTGGGAGAAAAATGGACAGGGTAGTTTCGGTCATTGACTTTTGGCAGAAGAATTTTAAAAAAAGAAAAGATACAATAGGAAACTGAAAATCCCTAGCTTTCAGAAATAAATTCTGTCTCAAAAATGTCATTTTAAAAATATGAGAATCCATTTTAATCTTCTAAACCACTTGAACGAATATTTTTTTTAATTCAGATCTGCGATTGGTTATTGGATTGCAGCTTGATTTTTAGATTTTTGAATTAAAAATTTATAGTTTTTCTAGTTCAAAGTTCTGAAAATAAATGGTTTTCATCTGATCAAATTCGAGTTTTTTTTTCTGTTTCATAATGTGTTCAAGTCCAGCAGAATTCAGGAGGTATCAGTTTCTCAATAGATATGCAAAGTAATAGGCTTAGGCCACCCGTACCCGCCAGCTACCCGCCCGCTTGCTACCCGGAACTTTTTGTGTTTGCAGACAATGCGCGAAATTTCTCGACACTTCGATTAAATTTTTTTTCAAATTATTTTTTGACAATTTTTGTCGCTTATTGGTGTAGAAAATAGTTTTAAAGTGAAAATAAAAATAATTCAGGTTTGAAAGTTCATCAGCCAGTGAAAATGGACGAGATTTGTTTCGGAAAGAAACCGAAAAATGCACGCGAATTGTCGTGTAGTTGCGCGCATTGTCTGCAAACACAAAAAGTTCCGGGTAGCTGCGGGTACGGGCGGGTATATCGCTACCCGCATGGAAACCCTACAAAGTAAAAATTCTTATTTTTCCAAAGCTACACCGAATTTTCAAAATTAAAAGCTTTGAAGCCATTTTCGGTACTTCTTCATGGCCAAAAGATTAATTTACTGTTTCGAAAACTCGTTAACTCGATTCCAGATTTGTCCTCCTTATTGTTTTGATTTCTTTTGTTGAACTCCAAAATCGATCAGTTTTTAATTGCTGTAAAATGCACATTAATTTGTAAAATGTTATGCAGATTCACCTAAAAAAACAAAACCTGGAAACTTCTTGAAATGCTTCTGGAAACTGTAACTTTTGAAGTGAATTTTTCTAACTTGTAAGTTTCCTTTTTTCTTCAATGTTTTTCTTTTAAAATTTAGTCACATTCCGTTACAAAGTCTTGCCGAAAAAAAGTTCTTTCTGTTTCAAATTTCTTTTTTTTTCCAACGCTGGGAAATTTCAACCATTATCAAAATATTTCGTGTTTTCCGACAATGTCGATTCCTGTGTTTAATTGAATTCGGTGAAAAAAAAAGATGGAATTTGCATGAAACAGTAACGAAACTCAAAAAAAAAATCAGCCAGCGAGGTTTGAACAAAAAGTGAAAAAAACAACGTTTCTTGAAGAATGACTTAAAGGTGGGGGGACAGGAGATTTTACGGGGGATTTTTGGGGCCAGAGCATGCATTCTACCGTCACGGTGTACAACGCTTAATGTCACTCTGCGTACAGCTGTCGTCCTCGCCTTTATGTATGCAATCGGGCGTGCGCTTTCTTTTTACCCGCGTGGCTCAGTCGGTAGCGGCGCCGCACCCTCTTCTTCGCCCTCACAAGTTCAACTCCTCGAGGGGCATCTTTGAACGGAATTTCGAGAACATTATTTTTTTCATGTCCCCCCACCTTTAATGAATTTTGTGGAAATTCCAGTACATAGATTTTCTACAACAAAAAATTTTTAATGTTATCTCTCAGAGTATGAGATATAATTTTTTCAAAGTAGTTCACAGCATTTCTCTAATAATTGTAAATAACTTTGTACGGAATAATATTTCTCTGAAACATTGAAAACACAATGTTGTGATATTTATTGTCTGTGGAAATGTGTCGGCCCGGAAATTTTGAAATGTACAGGGTGGCCGATAAGTATAGGACGTTTTGAAAGTGCTCCCATTTTTTCAATTTGAGGATTTTTCGAGAACAACCTTTATTAAACAACAAAAAATAAGCAGAAAATTTGATTTTACAAGAGAAATTCGAAGTTGGATCCACGAGCTTTGACACAGGCTCTCAAACGTTTCTTCACCGAATTGACAGTGCGCCGCAGGTATCCGTCGTCGATCGAAGCCCATGCTACCTCGAGAGCGGCCTTCAAGTCATCGACAGTAGCAAAAACTTTTCCCGCGATCTTCCCTTCCAACATGCCCCAAACGCTGAAATCCATCGGATTGAGATCCGGGCTGGAAGCAGGCCACAAGTTCTTGTCCAGGAATCCAGGGAAATGCGCCTCCAAGACGGCCAATGTCGATCTCGAGCCATGGGACGGTGCCCAGTCTTGTTGAAGGATAAATGGACCACCAGCAAAGTGCTGAGTGACCCAGGGTAACAAATTATCCATCAACACAATCTTTTGGTACACCTCCGAGTTGATTTTCACATTTCTTTCAATGAAAACCAACGGAGTTTTACCGGTTGCCGTGATACCGGCCCAAACCATGACACTTTTCGGGAAAAGGCGGTTATGGGCAAGACGACGTTTCGGAGACATGCTGTCATCCTTTGACAATAACTGTCTCTGGTTTTGACGGTTGGGAAGAGGTTCAATAGTGAAGATCTTCTCGTCTGTCCAGTAACGTCAGAGACGCGGCGCACTTGAAAGTGCTGGAGTAATTTTCGGCATTTTTCGAGTCGCATCGCTTTCGATTTGTCCGAGAGGTACTGTCCACGACGTAGTTTGTAACTTTTAAGCTTCAAGTCGTTCTTGACAATCGATTGGACAGTGGATCGGGCAATTCCAAGCTGTGACGCCATCCTATTGAGACTCAATCCATCATTTCGAATGATCCGTTTCTTGATGATTGCACGAGTATTCCGGGTGTTGACAGAACGTCCGCTTTTTTTTACTTCAGAAGCATCTCCTCGCTTTTTGATAGCAGCGACAACGTTTCGAACCGTCGAAGACGAAATTTGAAGGCGTCGAGCGATCTCAGCACTTCCGAGGCCTCTCTTGAACAAGAGTTCAATGGAAGGACGATGAGGAGAACTTTTCATAGCTCGGCGATATGGAGAAGTGAGAACAAATGACTGAGAAGCTTACTTATATAGTCTCTGGACTTTCGAAAAGTTTCGAAATTTTTCGAAAATATCCCTTGGCACCGTGCCAGGGAACGCTGAAAGCGAGCGTCCTATACTTATCGGCCACCCTGTATAATAGCTAAAAAACGATTACTCTTGTATTTTTCTTATCTCAATGAAGGTGGTTTTTGGCCTTGGACATTTTTCGGATTATTGAAAACGTGCTGCGATTCGCTTGAGCCAGTTTCAATATTTCAAACAAGCCTTGACTTGGGCCACAACAAATGTGATTTATGTTGACTTGTTTTAGAATAAAAATTGGAAATTATATACTTCAGAGTAAAAATAAATTTATTTGAAAAATTACAAATATATAATTAGTGATCTCTTTTGTACAAGTAGGTGTGAAGTTCATATACTTAATAAAGTTTTCAGATCATTTCCTTCTCTCTAACTTCTCTGTAACAGTACTTCCTGTTCCCGGAGAATTCCTTCCTTCTCATTGATTCTATTACCTTGCCCAATTTCTTTCTGTTTCAGATAGTTGTTTTTTCCGTTTCTATTACCAATATGTAATTATTTTTCGAACAATATTGAGCCCTCCCATGGAGTTGCATTGAAGTTATCAAATGGAAGATGCAAAAAGAAACAAGAACGAAATTTTACCATTTCACCTTGAAGAAGTAATTTGTCTGAAACAACAACGAAACTCAAAGACAATCTGTCATCAAGGTTTTAACCTAATGGAAAAAAAATTTTTTTTTTCGAAGAGTGACATAATGAGTTTCGTAGTGATTTCCGTTTTTTCTAGTTTCAGATCTAACACAATTTCTTTAACAATACTAAAAAATTTAGTACGGAATCATATTTATTTTTCTGAAAAATTGAAAAACAAAATGTTTTGATATTCATTTTCTGTGGAAATGTGTCGTCTCTGATCTTCTGACTTGTAAAATAATTTTTAAAGTTTTAGAATATATAATTTAGTAAAAATTTCAAATACACATTTGGTTATCTATTTTGTGAGAGCTGAATCTTCGGAGAGAATGAAGTTTTCAGATCATTTCCTTCTTTATACTTCTCTGAAACAGTGCTCCATATTCCCGAAGAATCCCTTCTTTTTCATTGATTTTCTATTTTCTTTGAAGAATCCCGTTCGAATATCTGACCACCAGATAACTTTCCATTTCTTCCGAATCGTTCCGTCATTTTCTCTCATCTTCTTCTTATTATCTTTTTCCCGAAAAAGACGCATATAACCCAAATTTGGCGTCTTCCATTTTCTGTTATCAATACCAAAAGTTGCATAGCCTTCACTTGAAGGCAAACATATGATTTTTTTTTCTTCGTTTTTGTAGACAAAGGAGTATTGAATTTGTTGCTTAATACAAATTTAAAAAATAGTCTTGAAACAGTAAAAAATGGATATATCAAAACTATTGAAAGTTTGCTAGCTCTTTAGCTTCCTGTGTGAAGGAATTCTCCAATTCTAAAAACATTTTTTTTAGAATTTTCAGAATTTCACTGTTTCCAAACATCGATTAACAAAAATTGTTTTATAAAATTATTGATATGCTCATTGAAAAAGATCCAGAAATTCCATGTCCTTCCTTTTTTTCGTGTTTTCCTTTTGTTTCGAGCCGTCAAACACCCGTTCCGATTCACCGAAATTCCATCGTTTTCTCCCGTTTTTTCGATCTATTTACTCACCTGTCTCTCTGCGTCTCTTCATTTATCGCACTCTTTTGTTTTCTTGTTCAGGTTGGACAGTTCTCAAAGAGAAACGGAATCGTATAGAAGAACTTGGTGAAATGACTGAATTCTTCTCACAGAAGCAAATTGATGGTGAGTTTTTGAAAACTTTTACAGTTTCGAAAAAGTGTTGAATAAAATAATTTTTTCATTGAAATCATTGTTCAAGCCTTCTTCTCTTCCAGAAATCCGTGAATGTTTCAATTTCTATGCAACCGGAGGTGTTCTAAAAACTTCGTCCCAGTTGAGATGTGCTCTTCGTAGCCTCGGATACTCACCAACTGCTGCAAAGACACAGGAGTACTACAAAAAACAGAACAGTGAGTTTTTGAATTCTGGAATTTTGAAAGACAAGATTCCTAGAATCTCAGAATTCTAGAACTTCATGAGCTTAGAATCTAGAATCTTAGGATCTTGTATGCATTAAAGTTTAGCAGAAGTATATCTATGACCTCGTGAACTGCTTTTCTCTATTCGACATTTCTGAAAATAACTTCTCGAAACGGTGTTTTTTTTTTCAGAAAAACCAATCGAATTCGCTAATTTCCTTGACATTTGTAAAGACGAGCAGAACAGTACGGACCCACTAACAGAGATTATCAAAGCGTTGAGTGGATTGGATAGGTATAACTTTTGAAATTCTTAATACTTTTAAATCGAAGTTTCTAGAAACAAGACCCGTGCGATGCCATCTCGTGAGCTTGCCGCTATTCTGTCACAAGTTGGAGAACGAATGAGTCCAGAAGAGATTAAGTATCTGCTTTCAAAAGTTGAAGTCAATGGAATGGTTCCACATCAAGCACTCATTGAATATATTTCGCGATGAATGTGGATTTTTTGTTTAAAATTTATAAATTGTGTCATTAAATATTTTTTTAAATAATCGTCGAAATGAGTTACTTTGAAAAATGTATTCGAATTTCATAATCAAAATAATCCCAAAAAAAAAAGTTTGAATAAAAACTAATTGAACTTCAAAAAACGTAGAAAAAATATACTTCTTCTTCGGATTCCCCTACAAACTCAAGATGAAATCAAGAATTCGGGAATAAAGCTATCGTTTTGAAGTATGTACCTCATGAAATCACCCACCTCATGAAATCGTCAAATATCTGAAAATTTTGAAACTTGAAATTTTTAAAAAGTTGATGAGCTATTAAAATCCAAAGAATGAATCATTTTTAAAAGAGACAAGACATCAAAAAAGTTTCCTAGATATTTTGAATAGTGAACTTCCTTGAGGAGTTGAACTCATAAGGAACAGATCAGGGGAACAATGCAGCTACCGGCTAATATACCGGCTGCCGATCGATGTCCTACAGGTACGATTTCATTGAATAGAAGGGCTTGGAACTATAGAAGGACCGTCCTTCGAATGCATGTTTCACGGTAAACTTATGATCGGGATAAATATGCCATAGTTTTGATAAAATAAGCGCCAGAACTAGTTCAAAATTTTAAGATGGTATCGACAGCGCTACTTCGAACTCAAACTCCATTTCAACAATAGTCAACGACAGTCTCTGTTTTGCGAACACATCGTTATCTTCACTGATTGAACAAGAACTAGACAAGATTAGGACAGACTGTATGACCCCGCAAGATTTCGAATTGTTAACTGGCAACGCTATCAGATACCAAATAGTTCAAAGTTTTGCCTACGTTTTTGTCGGAATAACGACCATTGGTCTTAAAGAGACGAAACACACTAAAATTGTCCGCACTACCACCCTGGACACCATTAAACCGGACCAAACCAATTGAGCATGAGCTGGAATCAGCAACTACAATCGAGGAGTACTACAATTTGAGAGAGCCGCGCTCAAGAATGAGAAGTCTTGATAGCCGATTCCTTTTCAAGCATAACATCGATACTGCAATTACATATTTGAATAAGCGACTGCCATCGATACAAAAAACGTTCAAAAGAACATTTGAAGAAGTTTGTCCTGCTGCTCCAACAGTTCTGAATAAGAAGGTAATCGATAGCATGATTGAACTGTTTGAGGATGTGGATGATAAAATTCAAAAAGAAACGGATAGGATGATAAAAAGAGATGATTGTTGGGATGAAAAGTACTTCTAGATTTAATTTATCTGTAGATAAACATTGAAGTGACTGTTTTTTCAAACTGTAATCATCCTTGCATTCTTTTTTCATTTGAATAGTCTTATATTTTAATGTTAAATTTTGATTTTCATGTTTTCTATATCTGCCCTTAATGAATATTTAATATCTAAGTTAATCTCACAATCGTTTCGACTCTTTGAGTTCAATATGCCTTATTCTCTTTAACAGAATCCCACACTATAAGTGCATTTCAAGCTCAATTATCTGGGTTCCAATGAGAGATGACAGAGCTTTGTCCACTGATAAAATTTTGATGATAATATTGATGATATTATTATGATAAAAATTTAGCAATTGACAAATTTTAGATATCTGTGATGGGGAATGAGATAAATGAGCTCAAAGAGCACATAAAGAATTATATCAAAATACCGAAAACCTAAAATTTATTTTTACAATATTCGCTTTCAAAATTAAATAGATACATTTTCATATGCAAGTTCTCTGATGCCTTGAATATTCCATATTTCTTCTCCGCTATAATTTTCTTGACAAAATCCATGAAAATCTTCTGTTTCTCGCTATTCGTATTGTCTTCTTCTTCTTCGGAGATATGAATCTGAAAATTTGGGTTACGGTAGAATTTCTCTGAGGACCCACTTCCATATTAACTTGACACAACTCAATGTCATTTTGATCAAGGACGCCATTCTTGTCGAAAATTTCAAATAGCTCGTATTCAGCTCCCTCAGCGTCTATCCATAAATTATCGATTTTCTGAAATTAAGGGATTTTTTAGATTTCAAATTTCAGTGGGATTCTCACCTGAACATTCAAAATATCCTTCAAAAAGTATAGAATATCTACATGAGCCACATTTTGGTCGATTAATTCGCCTGAAAATGAACTATTCAATTTTAAAAAATGTCTTCTCGGAAATACCATTTTTCTCAATACTCGAATTTGTGAATCCTGGATGTCTAGCTACGGCAAATGGGAAAAATTTTCCAAACTTTGAATATATTTCAGAATTTTTATCAACTGTTGAATCGGCTCCAAAGAAGTCAACGTTTTTGTTGAGTTTTTGCATTTTCTGGAATTTCAATTTCAGAAAAGTTTCAGAATTTCAGAGTTTCTCACCCTTTGATAACTCTCCTCTCCAATTGTACTTTGTCCAACTCCCAGTGTAATTATGTTGTGATTGTTTTCATCTTCCTGGAAAGATAAATTCCAGTTTCTATTTCTTTTTTTGAAACAAAAAGTTCATTGTAGCCAATCCGTCGATTCAGGATTAGATTCAAATCTTCAGAGATCCTATATCTTTTTGTTTCGGATACATAAATTTTCCGGAAAGTTTTTTCTGTTTCAGTGAACTCATAGATTTTTTGAAAAACCATCAGAACAGATGCTTTACCGATGAAGTAAAATATTTTTTTAAAATCATACTTGCAACGAGCCGTGCCGGGCTTCTCAAAATTTTCTCGTTTTCAGTTTTGGACGGAATTCAAATACAGTTCGAAAACTGTCTAGAAGTTTCTAGAAATGGATGAACGCTAGGTTCTTATACTTAAGAAGCGATTTTTTGGTTTGAATCCCACTGTATTATTCTGGTAGAAAAAATCGGTGCTGTGGAAGAGAACACGACAACTACCGTATCCTAAAAAATTAGCATTTTTTTGCGATTTTTCAAGAGAAATACTCATTTTTTATTCGATTTTTTGAAAATGTTTAGACCTTTTTAGGATTTTCAGCTATTTTCAAAGATTATTTTTCGATTCTTCTTGTTTTTTTAAGTCTCATATTTGATGGAACGGTGTCTTGATTACTGTAGATGACTGTAGAAACCAGTTTCCTTTTTTTTGCAAACACAATTTTAGTCTACATTTTGGTGTGATTCTGTTTGCAAAATAACTTTAAAAAATCAGGTTTTCTACTGTAATCTTCAGTCAAGAACATCATCCCGTCAGATTTCAGACAAAAAAATCGGAAAATGCGAAAAAGAATCTTCAAAAAAAGTTGAATTTTTGCAAAAAAAAATCGAAGAAAAAATCTGTTTTTTTCCTTTTTTTCTCGAGAATTCACTTTGACAATAATTTTTGTGATTTTGAAAAGTCCAAATTTTTGTTAAACGAAACATCGATTTTTAAAAGTTCCTAAAAGTTCACAACGACAGCTACCGTAATACTTTGACATTTCCTTTGAAATTTTTTGTTTCCTCAACTACATTTATAACTATTGTCAACAAAAATCACAGTTTTTGCACTGAGAACAAACATGGGAAGTCAAAAACTTTTATAGTGAAAAGATGGACTAAAAATCACGAAAAACGAGAAAAAACCTCTGAAAATAAAAATATATTTAGTTTACGATAGTTGTCGTTGTTGGACCTTCGGTCACTGTCTCTGGCGTTGTTCTTCCACAACTTCGATTTTTAACGTGATTCGAAAAATGTTTGCACAAAATTTTTAACTATTTCAGTATTTCTTTGTCATATGAATGAACAGAATTAGCTTAATACGTCTAACTTGGACGGTCCAAAATAAATCCCACCCCCAAAAAAACTTGATAACTGACAGAAATCATGCTTCTGATAAATGCCGAGAAATCACTTATCACTTTGAAACTCACATTTTTGGGAAAAATCACAATTTTTTGCTCTTCCAACTCTGTCACTCCTAATTTTGAAATTTGCGCCTCCTCGTCACATTTTCTCGTCGAATCCACAAATTGCTTCCAAAACTGAAGATGCTTTTTTCTCGAGAATTCTTCAAACTATTTCATACCTCAACGGGATCCTCCAAACCCATCAATTTCAATTTCACACACTCTCTCCAATTATCAAAAATTTCTGTTTTATTGGACACTAGAAACCATGAATCTTGATCCGAATCGTCCGAATCCCCATTTTTAGGTGTATCATGTATCTGAAAGAAATTGATATAACAGAACATTTACTGTTAAGAGCTTACCTTGTAATAAATTTTGAAGCAAACAAAAACAACGGAAAATATGGCTAGAAATTGGAGAAGTCGATTTGAAGAGGACATTTTTTGGTTCAAGTGACCAAAATGAATAAAAATGGACGAGGAGGATAGAGATTCGGATCTTTTGTTCCGTAGAAAGGATGAAAAAGAAATTGGATTGCTGGATATTTCGGAGAAAAGACACCAAAAAACAAAGGAGACTTTTAAAAGTGCAAAAACAGATTTTTGATTATTTGGAAGATTACAATGATGACCAAAACCGTCAACTTTTTTCTTCTCTATGAATTTTTAAATGGCTCCGCCTACTTTCCTAACCTAAGTGCTCATGTCAAATATTCCTCCTCCCCTCGTCGACCTATGAACTTAATTAATGTTCAGCCCTACTCCTCTGACTATTTTTCTTCAATTGTTTCCCTGTGGAACGCCATCACTTCCCCACTTACGCGATTTCTCCTACCTTCCGAGTTTGAATCCTTAATTTATTCTCCATTTTTTCTGCGTCACATATCTAAATTTTCCCGTTTCCCTCCCCTACTCAGATCAGCCTCGTGAGGGGCATTTTCTGAGTCTTTCATGTCCTGCCCTCTAATGTTTTATTACACCTGATCAATAAACTAATTACAATTACAACTTTGAGCTCAATGATCTCGATTCCTGTAAGTGATAAAAAAAAATTGTCAACTGGTAAAATATTGGTAATGTTATGATAAATAATTTTTCAGTTGACAAATTTTTGATATCTTTCGCAGGAATCGAAATAATTTAGCTCAAAAGTTGACTGTTTTGTAAAATGGGGAAAATTCATGGAAAAGTTATGGAAATTCAGAAAATTTCCATAACCTGTATTAGGAGGGCCCCCGCACTGTCAATTTTGAGCTCAATTATCTCTGCTTCTATAAGAGATATCAAAAATTTGTCAACTGATAAAAAGTTTGTGATATCATGGTAAGCAATTTATTAATTGACAACTTTTTGATATCTTTCACAGGAACCGAGAAAAATTGGCTCAAAGTTGAAATTTAGGGTTCTATTACAAGTTCTACGGTATGTTAAAGAAAGAAACTGAATTCCAACATAAAGCAAGAAAATTTTAATTTTATACTGAGCATTTTTAAAGGGGGTACCAGATTTCGGGTGTCGTTTTGGATACTGAGCAAAGAAAATGTAATGTCAAGGTAAGATTTCAGGATAGTACTTGTATGAAGGTCCTAGAAATTTTTGGATCACCCAAAATTTTCGTTCCGTAATTTTTTTCGTTCCGTGATTTTTTTTTTCGTTCCGTGATTCTAGAACAGTGCCAAAAAATCTCCTACCAGAATAATCGGAGATCGTTCGTCCACGTCGCCAGCGAGGGAGAAATCCAGAAAAACAGGATCGGAGGGAATCACCAAGGGGTCTACCGGAGGCTCCACGAGTGGATCACTTCGAGGATCAACAAGGGGGTCGACAAAAAAAGAATCCAGATGATTGAACAATGTATCGACGGGAGGTTCGCCTGGAGAATCTTCTCGATCAACAAAAAAGTCACCAAAAAAAGCTGCCAGAGGATCGTCAAAAGTATCCACCAATGGATCGGCTGGAGAATCTTCTCAAGGATCAACAAGGAAGGCATCAAGAGGAGCTTCAAGAGGATCGTCAAAAACATCGACGAGAGGATCAACTGGATCATCAATCAGAGGATCGACGAGAGGAGCAGCCCGAGTAGATGTTCAAGGAGCATCCCAAGCAGCCGCCCCAAGAAACATCACACATATTACTCCGAGGATCCACGACGAGGAGAAAGCAGAGC